TTTTTTTTTTCTGCGTGACCTAGTGAAACCTAATGAAGCTGAACTAAGTAGGACTCCTTTCTGATATGCAAATATTTTGTGATGCATTTCTTGTTTCTTGCCTCTACCTACGTGCTCCAGAAATCAAAACTTTGCTCAACTGTTAGTTTGTTTTATGGTCAAGAATAGACATTGTGCTTTGTACAGATACCTTACAAATAGTGCTTTATCACACTACAAATTGTATTAATTGTGCAGCTTTATCTGTCTTAATTATCAGGTTAGCTTCTGTTGTTTCTCATTTTACTACAGGCCACTTAAACCTGGCATTTGCAACTGGTATAATGCCTTAGTCACATCTCCACTTTCCAAAGCATGTGCTCTTGTTTTCATCAGATTTTGAGCCTTGAATCGCTGTTGTCAACAGACAGCTTCACATCAGGGCACAGCTTTTAGTACTTCATTCAAGCTTGCCGATAAGGTGCAAGCTTCAATGCTCAGGAGAAGCAGTAGCTCTACACATGGCTCTTCTTCCCGGGACATGACTGGGAATTCCCCAAGGCTGTGTGCATTGGCATTCTTGCTTTATCAGGCTGTTTGTCAATGGTGGACTATGGAAGCTCCAAAGAATAAGGAAATTAAGGATCAGTTAAGGTCTGCAATGCCCTTTCCTTGACCTTTAAATCAATGGTCACAGCATGGTGGGGGGGAGTCCAAGAGATGTCCCATCTTGTATATTGAGGTAACCTGGAGAAGGATATTTGCCTCCATTGCAATTTTCAGATGGTGGGTTCTTCACTGCTGATCCTCTACTGCTGGTCCCGCTTCATAATTTGTGAGCTTTTTATCTCCTTTCTTTCTGTGACCTGATGTCTGGGCTTGCTCCATTCAGCATGGTTGTCCATGTTCCCTGGTGAATTATGGGAAGTAATTGGGGACTGACCAGTTTGCTCATTGTTCCCTTCCTTATCATGCAGCTCTCAGCTGCTGTGTTGTTGTATTTACCATGTGGACAAAATGCCAAATATGCTTCTTCTAAATCAACAGTTTGTTTACTTCCCAGTCTTGCTACGAAAATGGTAAATATTTGCTCAGGGCTGGCATTTCACTTACTGCCCTGTCTTGATGCAACTCTTCCCGCACTATAGGTCTGTGGCCTCCTGCTGGCTTTCATTAACTTCCTCCTGCAGCAATACGCAGGATGAAGGACATTATTTCCTGACTCTCCACTACATGTCCTAATATCCTGGTGCTTGACTGGTGGCAACAAACTGGCTTTGGAAATGTGTGTGTGTGTATGTGTGTTTAGTACCTGTTAGGATTCAATAGATACTGAGATCTCTTTTTTCTTTCCTCATAGTCCTAGGCCACGTTACTGAGTCACATACTGCCCTTTCCTTTCTCCATATTTAGGTACCATTTGCTTCCAATCCAGTTCTCTTTTAAAAGAGAAATGATATTGTATTTGTTGCAATAAACCCAGAGTTAATACTCCCACACACTCTGTAACAATTTGGCATGGTCAGCAGCATGACAACCTGCTTATGGAGGCAGGAGAAGAGGAATCCCCCAAGTGCCTCACCCAAATGGGTTCACAGTCATTGGTAGGGTTGGAGCAACTTGGCAAGGCAACCCGATTTAGCTGGGGTAAAAGTAAGGAAGGATGGCTGAAATAAAGGTGTAGTTCTGAAAAGGCTGGGAGCTTGTTTGGAGGTAGCTCATGTTTATAGGGAACAGCAAGATAAAGAACTAGCTGCCCTCTATGTCCCACACCAGTACTGTCTGCTACTGCAGATAGGAAATGATCACACCAAAGAACAGTTGAGGTTGAACAAGATAAAAGGAGGGCAGTAAAAGAAAAGGTTGAGGTTATGCTGATAAGGCAGTCTGAAACATCTGACCATGTCAAAATAGGCCAACTTGGGTGTATTCTGGGCGTATCCCAGAAACTTGGGGTGGGTGTCTTGTTTGATAAAGATAACGCTCAACCCCTCTCCTGGTGGAAAAGGGGAAAAGTGGGAAGGAGATATGGAAAATGCTCTGTTGATGAAAAATGACAACTGCCATAGTGAAACATGAAATCACTCCGGGACCCCACGGAGGCAGCCAGCAGGAGGCTACTTGGACCACCCCATTTGCCACCTTGCAGCTAGTGAATCTCCAGGAAAAATTCTTTTAGAAACCTGGAGAAAGGGAGACAGAGTAGCTAAAAAAATAAACAGGGAGAAGATAGGATAAAGTTGGGCAGAACAGAAGTGTGGAGCATTGAGGAGCAGGGCTCTCTGGAGATCGTGAACAAAGACCTTTCGCGTTAAACACAATTTCCAGAGCTCCCAATGCCGCAGCAGCCCCTGCCTGGCCTGGCAGCACGCAGAGCCCAGTAACCCAACCAGCCAATCAGGCAGGTGATCATGTGCTGACCACACGAGGCCGCCCAATCAGCTGCCTGATCACATGTTGGCCACATGGCTGCAGCTCCTGCCTGTCCTGCTCAGCCCCCATTCTGCTGAGGTGGCACTCCCTGTTATTGGCCCCAGGCTGATGCCAACATCTTCCCCCTTTTTTTGTTTTCTTGCCCAAGGGGTGTACCAGGAGGAGAAGCGATGTTCCCAAGGCCTGGCTAAAGGCTGACAGAGTCCTTCAGGCCAAAGTGGCTTCTGGTCGTCTGGTGTATCCGTTGATATCTCCATGCACTCATAGAGTCATGGAATCCTTAGGGTTGGAAAGAACCTCTAGGGATCATCTAGTCCAACCTCCTGCACACGCAGGGTCACCCAGAGCACATGGCACAGGACTGCGGCCAGGAGGCCCTTGGAGATCTCCAGAGACAGAGACTCCACAGCCTCTCTGTGGGCAGCCTGTTCCAGTGCTCCATCACCCTCACTGCTAATACATTTTTCCTTAAGTTCCTGCGGAACTTTTCACATTTCAGTGTGCAGCCGTTTCCTCTGGTTCTGTTGGTGCCACCGCTGGAAAGAGGCCGCCCCCCGCGCCCCGGGAGCAGCGCCGCCAATCCATCAGCATAAAGTTAATGTTTTTCTTTAAAGCTGCGTCCAGGGCCGTGTTTATCGTGGATCGAACCAAATGAAATATGTATGCTAGGTGTACTGCCATCGCTACAAAAGCAAGCACATCCACTAAAGCAAGCTCTGAGAGAGCTAAAGCAGCTGCATTAGTTTGCTTTGACAACCAACATCCCAACTTTTCCAACCTTTTGTGTGCAGCTGCAGCAGCCACCCCGGTGTGAAATGACAGGGTGGCATTCTCTGCAGTTTGATTGCACCAATATGCGGTATTTTGATAAATTTCTAAGGTGGCATTAACTGGACGTAAGAGGAATTCCTCTCTTATTCTGATCTGGTCATCTCTATACGCGACCTTGGGGGATTGTATAATGGGGATTTAGGAAATTTGTAGTAAATCCAACTCGGATTCTTTGCCCAAACCCACCTCTCACCTGTGTTCTTCTGCCTAAACAAATGTGGTGCACCTAAAATCATCTCCTCGCCCTTTTGTTCGTCAACTGGTTCACTATAATTATGGACTATTTCAGTCATTCTCCGTTCCCCCATACTGCGGGTACCCCTACCAGGCAGGTGCCGAAAGAATCTCCTGGTGTACTAGTCGCTAGGCAGAGTGTGTTTTGATTTAAAGCCTTTGCTAAGGTCACCCAAACATTATGCACTGGATGTCTTGAAGGAACTGGTACTGCTACAGTTACTCTGATGGTGACGAGCCTGTAAAGGCTGTTGGAATTCCTCCTCGCGATCCTCCTCTTTGTCTGCAGCCCGTGATGCCAAGAGTGCTGGTTTTATCCATTGTGCTGGCACCCAATGGGCTTGCCCTGCAATGTGAATACAAGCATACCCGTGTCCCCAGGTTATTAGAGGTACTGGGCCTTCCCACTTTTGCATATGCAAATCTTTATACATTACTTTCACCTGCCCCTCACTTTGTGATCCCCTCCCTGTTTGGTAGTGCCGCTCTATTGGGACAGCTCCATGTTCTTCCCGATTCAAAAAATTCAACAGACAATGCCTTATTCAGCCAGTCCTGGGGGGTGTACCCTTCACTCCCCACTTTTTTTGTTTATCTAGGATTCTTTTCAGAGAACCATGAGCACATTCTACTGTAGTTTGGCCCGTAGGGGAATGCGGGCTTCTTGTAACATGTCGGACCCCCAGGTCTGAAAGAACATGGCTAACATGCGAGAGCTGTATGCTGGTCCATTATTGGTTTTTATCTGAGTTTATATCCCAAGCATCACAAAAGCACTTAACAAATGTCTCTTTACATCTTTCACACCTTCCCCTCAATGAGCAGTAGTGACTATTGCTCCCGAGAAGGTGTCCACAGACACATGGACATATTTCAACCTTCCAAACTCTGGTATACGTGTTATGTCCATCTGCCATAGCTGGTCTGATTGCCACCCTCATGGGTTTGCCCCCACCACAGGTGGGGTCTGCTGCATTTGGCAATCAGGGCAGGCTGATGGAGGTCCCGTGCCTGATTCATGGTTAGTCCAAGTGTACGCTTCAATGCAAGAGCATTCTGGTGGAAGCACCTGGTGCGACAATTCTGCTTGTTTCATTAAGTTGGGCAGGCCTGCAGCAGCCATCAGTCGGTTGGCTGTGCGATGTCCTTCTGCTATGGGACCAGGCAGCGTCGTGAGACATTGGTGCTTCCCTTGCTGTCGGATCAAGCCGATCGGCTGCCTGGGTCCCTGCAGGATCATTAAGTCCACACCTAATCCTGGGCAAATTCTATGAGCTTGTCATTGTTGCAATGCCTTTCCACTGTTCACAAACCCTTCTCCGTTTTTGCCGTTAACTCGTGGAGAGGCTGGATCTGGGTTCCCTTTTAGCAGTTTGAATAATGGACTCAGTTGTTCAGTTGTCACTCCAATGGTGGGGTGGGCCCAGTTGATGGCCCCAAGCATTTTTTTGCATGTCTTTGAGGTTACTGAATTTGCGAGATGTGCGCAATTTCTGAGGTCAGACTGCTTGACTGGTAATTGTCCACCCCAGATATTGCCATGGTGCTGCAACTCGAACCTGTTCAGGAGCAATCACTAGGCCCGCTCGAGTCACCTCCTTTATCAGTGTTTTCATAACAGTCTCTAGCTCCGTAGCTGTGCTGCAGGCGATCAGAATGTCATCCATGTAGTGATAAATAATCGCTACCTTGTGCTGTATCTGCACAGGGCTCAATGTCTTTGCCACGAACCACTGACACAGGGTTGGACTCTTCTTCATGCCCTGCAGCAGTACTGGCCACTGACACTGTTGGGGTGATTTGGCTGCATTTACGCTTGGTATGGAAAAAGCAAATTTGTCTGAGTCTTTGGGATTCAGGGGGATCGTGTAAGAACAGTCTTGCAGATCGATTATTTCTATGCGCCGATCTGCTGGAATCATAGCTGGGGATGGTAACCCTGGTTATGGGGCTCCCATATTTTCCATGGCCTCATTGACTTTATGTAAATCATGCAATAATCACCATTTCCCACTTTCCTTTTTAATGACAAAACACTGGTGTATTCCACAGGCTGGTGGACGGCCAGAGGTGGCCTTGATGCAGTTGGTCCACAACAAATCCGCGAAGGTGGTGCAGCTTCTCTGCAGGGAGGGGCCACTGATCCACCCACACTGGCTTGTCCGGGAGCCCCGTGAGGGCGGGAGTCAGCAGCGCCTCAGCGGCCCCTAGGGAAAATGCAGTGTCACCCGCCCCGCCTCTGCACTGGCCGAGAGTGACATGGGAGGCCCCGGAGGGACACAGGAACAGGCAGTACCTATTGGTGTAGAGTTGCTACCCGCCCCTCGGGACCTTACTCGTGGAGCTACCATGCCTTGTACCCCCTGCGACTTCCAGGGGGGTGACTTGCATTGGCCACGCAGGCGGCCAGTCCTTCTGCTCAAGAATTGTTAAGTTGGCCCCGCTGTCCGTCAAACCCACAATTGTGCCCCTGGCCGCTTCAGCTGTCAGTTGGGCAGACCACATTGGTCTCTGCTTCTCTTGTATTTGGGTCAGCCAATAGACCTGGGCCACCGGATCTCTGGCACGCACCTCTTGTGAAGGACATGGTGCCGAGACTTGAGCATATATTCCATGCTTTCCAGGTGAGAGGATTAACAGAGGGCTTACCCAAACGTCTAACCCTTCTGATCCTGATACTAGAACTGATCCCTCTTTTCATTGTATGACCTGCAAAGGAACCTTTTGGGGACCAGCAGTGATCCACTCTGCTTTCCGCTTTGCTTTGGCGGCCATTCCCAGTTGAGATTCACTGGAGCTGCCGTCTCGGGATTCATTATTGGTGTCCTCACGCGAGCACCCCTCGCGCTGCGCTTCCCATTTCCCGACTTGGGCAGGGGCTGGCCATCCAGGTGAATAGAGGAGTGACACTGATTGGCATAGCGTCTGCCCTTTCCACAGTGGGGGCATGGTCCCAGCGCCGATGGCAGTTTGCGACACTGCGGGGATTCTCACTTTAAAGTGGCTCATCTGGCTGCACATAAAGCAGGCCCCTGAGCCAATTGCCTGCCGCGATATAGCAAGAGTCGCGTAGGCGCTGGCAAGCACTTGCAATGGGTCACCCGAGTTATCCTCCATTTCCTGATAGGCTGTAACCGTGTTGGTGATGGTCGGAGCACCCCTGATTCTCTGCCGCACGCCTCAGATCACCTCCCGACAGGCCCTGTTCGCATTCTTTTCAGCCAGTTGTTCAAATATCAATTGCCAAGGCCCCTCTCCAGTCACCTGTTTGTCTACTGACACCGTAAGCCGGTCCAGTAATTCGACATACAGCTCCCCCTTCCCTTGAGTCACCTTAGAGAAGGGCTTGAGGACTTTTGCATTCCTTTCACCTGGGGCCTTTGCCAAAGCCTCAAGGAACACTTTGCGTGATTGGACCAGTGCAGTCCTTGTATCTGAGCTGTATTATACTGGCCCTCCCCCAGTAACATCTCCGCACTCGCCCCCTGCATTGTTTGATCGTGTATGTTATTGAGCACCTTCATGTTTGCTGCCTCGTGCGCCGCTTGAAGCATGACCGCCTGCTGTACTGGGGTAAGGATCAGCTGTATCAGCATTTTAAAATCGTGGGCCACCAGCCAATTACCCTCTGATGTCCCCCGAATTAGCGCTTGAGTATACGGCTCCTTTAGCCTGTACTCGGACACTGCCTTCCGTATTTCCTTAACTATATCTGTAGTGGTCTGTGCTGCGGGCCTAATAATACAGGATAAGCAGAGACCGCGGACCCCTCAGCCTTGCTCACATGCAGATCCCCAGCACAAAGCGCCTCCTGCCACATCCTGGCCCAGGGGTTCTCCGTCTCTTCTCCTGAGGAGCAGGATGCCGCTGAGCCTTGATCTACAGGGTCGGCCTACTACTACTCCCTTTAGATAATCAGGAGCCGGGGAGTGGAAACCTGGCTCCCTCTGGCTCTCCACCTGGGCAATCCTCTGGCCGTAGCGGCACAGGTTTCCCTTCCCCGGTCGGTGTGGGTGGCGCTGTCACCTCGATCCTGGTGGCTGAGGTCCCCACATTCTTCCTTAGAGCCTCATAGACAATTCTCCTCTCCTCTCAATAAGGAAGATGCGGTCAGGTCCCCGCGAGTCGCCCAATCCCACAGCACTGCTCCAAAACTGTCCCAGGCTCTGAGGTTGGACACTGTTGCCTCACTTAAAGCATTACAACTTTCCAAACACCCTTTTAAAAGCTGGATCAGGTCCCCTAGCTGAATGTCCTTCTCTTTTCCAGACTTATCTAAAATGCGCTGCAGAACCTGCAGCACGCTTTCATGCTCCTTAGTCATGGATCCTCCCATGGTCCTCGCCAGCTAGCTCCCACTTCCCAATGGCTAGAGATCCTGAGGCTCCCACTTCCAAGTGGCTCAGAGATTCGTTACTGCTTAATGGTTGTGGCCACGTAGAAGTTCTCCCCTGTCTGTCCTGTCGAGCTTACCCCACCATGCGATCTTCCCCCATCGCCTATCTATGTCCCTGTTTGGGCGTCATTTGTGGGGCATTGAGGAGCAGGGCTCTCTGGAGATGATGAACAAAGACCTTTATTTAGGGTTAAACACAGCTTATAGTGTTCCTGATCCCACAGCAGCCCCCGCCCTGCCTGGCAGCGCGCAAAGCCCAGCAACCCAACCAGCCAGATGATCCCGTGCCAACGATCATGCGCGAGGCTGCCCAATGAGTACCCACCCTGGTCACGCGCTGGCCGTGTGGCTGCAGCTCCTGCCTCTCCTGCTCAGCCCCCACCTGCCGAGGAGACTCTCCTGTCAGCGGCCCCAGGCTGACTGCAACAGTGAGGCAGGAGAGTGCTGAGGACCGCTAGGTTTCCTCACACAAAGCTCTGCTGACAGCCCTGCTTTGCCAGGGTGTCACCTTTGTTTTCTGACTCTTCAGCTGCCTCTGCGCAGGAGAAATCATTCCTTGTGAGCGGGGCGACTGGTAGCGATCCATGTCCACAATCAGGTAAAAGGGATAAAGCAATGACTAGGCCACTTGCCTATATTATACCCGGTGGATTTAGCATACCTGAAGCCATTGACAGAAAGTTGCTTCATTCCTTGAAGGAGCTCCTTATTCCACACCATAATAGGGCAATCCACAGCTGATATAGTGTAGAGGAATGGTTAGAGAGCCGCGGACATGGCTGCCCGGCAGGCCTGCTCAATTCCAGCCTTCAGGTTTCAGTGAAAGAACAAAGGGACTGCTAACTAGGAGATAAGGAAGTAGACCAAGGTCAGAGGGAATAAAAGAGCTGTTGAACTAAAAGGATGAGCTAAACAAGTAAGGGGGGCTGTAAGGGTCTTAGTTAGATCATTGTCTACCAATTAGGAGCCTGTGTAATTACATCACTAACCGTTAGCAAAAATATATTCTAAAGAAACTGTAATTTGCAGGTTACATTGGTAAGGCTTTCGGCTATTTTAAAGGCTCTCATAAACAAAACAACTAGCACAAGTACTAACACAAGGGTGTAATGATAAGTAAAAGAAGTACTGGGTGCAAGAATAGGTCAGTGCAGTAATTGTTGATGGTTTTTGAGGCTTCAGTGTCCTAGCAGAGAATATACCAGGTGAAGGAAGAATGACATAGGCATTTATCAAGTATAGTCTTTTTAACTTTTGGAGGCTCGTTCTGATATTCATCTTAAATGTTCTTCTAAGAGAAGTGCTTTCTGCTGAACATCGCTTTATTTATATATTGCTGTATTAAAGTTATATATAGTATTTTTAGGTTATGCACACAATTGCAAACTAAACATTGTCTTAATCAAGTTAATAATGATAAACTAAGCTTGTGTTCCTCCTATAAATTTTCATAGTGACAAGAACTGAATTTTACTCTTAGCTGATTTATTTAGATTCGATAGACTAAGTTGTCTTAGCGTGTGGTCGGAGTGGTTTTTGTGTGTGTGTGTTTAATGAGGAATTTATGATTATTAGTAACTAACATTTTTGTCTGTTTTTGTTTATACATTCCAGAAACATAATTTAGGTGTTTGAGTGTTTTAAATTGCTTCAGTAACTACCTAAATCAATGAGGTGTTTATTATATCCCCTGGTTATTTTTCAGGAAATACCCAGAGTGATATTGGCAGTCTGAAATCTTAAGCTTGGATACAAAAGACAGTCTTCTCATCTAAGATTTGTATGTCACTGTAAGTATTGCTTCAGTGTTGTTGAAATTGGATGATTTGTGCTGTTGTGAGGGCAGTATTGTTGGTTTTTTGGGTTTTTTTATTTGATTTCTTGTTTTTTACAGTTTCATTTGTGACCTGATTTCTCTATTTTGTTTTGTGCTGATATAATTTTAGAGTAGAGAAAGTAAAGAACGAAAGGCGATGCAGCTCTCTGAATGAATCTTGATAGCAATACCTGAGCAATCAACTGGAATGTTTTAATTCTGTGGTTCTTAGAGTAGCCTCTAAGTATCTGGGTTATGCTTCCAGTGTTGAGTTTGAAATCAGGAAGCCCTTAATGTCTATGTTAGAAACATTTTATTAGAAACATTTTAGCACCATGCACAAGGGATGTTCTTTGTGACATTGGGGGTTCAATTGTACTGAGAGGAACGTACAGAGATATAAATGATACTACTGCTTGTAGGTAATGTTGTGTTTGTTTGTTTTCATGATTTCTGGTTTGGAATCCCGAAATAGTAATTGGCCTGCAGAGGCTGGCTCGAATAATTTTCAGAGGTGTTTTGGAGGTATCATGATCATCCAGCTGGGCTTGCTAGTAATCAATGTCCTGGTCTAAATTTGTGAGTTGCAGAGTATAACTCATCAGGAGGTAAAGATCTGCAGCTTTTATTACCTTCTGGGGATTCATCGTGATGCCATCTATCATGCCTTTGGCCTGCTGAGTACCATAATATAAAATGCTGTGGCCTGAAAGCAGGGAAGGTTTGTTGTAGTTAACTGTTGTTTATTAGAGCCTGACTTGGGAGTCTTAAATTAGGAACTGCTTAAAGTTCAGGGAGGAGAAAATGACATGTAAAATAAAAATTAGCAGCATATAGTATTATGAAAGATCTTTACTAAGCCCATCTTTATTTTCTCCATTCTTTTGTTAGATTTTGTCATATTTCAAGGCATATTAGTGTTATATTCTGTTGGTGGTATGCCCAGGGTTTAAACATTGCTTATAGTAACATTTCATATATGAATATGTTGTTTTTCCATCATTTTGTGATGAGAAGGTTAGCATAGCACCATTAAATGAAAAAGTTGAGTGATAATAGGATTAGGGGAATAATTGGAGGATTCTCTTATTTACCAGACAGTCGACTGCATGCTTGTTGCCAGTCAGCTTTGTTATGTTCCAGTTTGCTCAACTTCACATCCCTGATAGCCACAGGATGGGCCAATGAGGTTGCTGTTGTATCTAGTAGTTTCAGTTGAATGCTTCTGTTCAAAATGCACAATAAATACTTGTTGGTAAGTGAAACAGGAAATAGATCTAAATTACACTTTATCTTTTAGAGCTTTGGTTTTGGACTGAAGACAAAGAAATCTAGAGAAGATGGACTGGAATGTGGGACCGCTCCAGAATGCTGATGCACAGAATAACTTGCAAAGTCAAGAAGCGTGTTATACTCAGGTGCTTTCTAATGCACAGGCTTTTCCTCAAGCAAATGCATATCCTTCTGAGAATGGATGTAATTATACTGGAAATAACCAAATGATGTTTCTGCCAACTAGCAGTATAAATGTTGTCTTCACTCCTGTAAATCCTGTAGGATACAAAAATTCAGACCAGACCTTTTCAAGAGCATCTGTAGCTGGCAGTAGTTTTGCCACCTCAGAATACGCGATTGATCGGTGTCCACCTTCCTGTGTACCAATAGCACCAAAACCTCCTAATTACACATCCCATGCGCAGGCACACACAGCTCAGAAGCCTTGGCAAAACTCCAAGGTGAAAGTTTATTCCCGTAGGAAGTTAGCCCCATTTCCTCAAACGAACTCTGCAAATAACATACAGAACATTCCTCGGGAGCCCCAGAACCTGTATGTTGCCACAAATGGTTATACTACACGGCCGCCAGTCCCACAGCTTAATCCTGTGAGAACAACAATGTTACATCCAAGCAGTCGCGAATGCATTAGTGCTTCGAAGACGAGGAGGTCACCATCATACAACATGAACGCCCCTTCTTCTCAAGGCATTTCACTACCCATCAATCAGTTATCCAGTCAGTATGCTCATTCCCAGAGTAATTCTTTGTCCCGTGGTACATCTGGACAACATATCCAAAACCAAATATATTATCCCAGTAATCCATTTCAAGTTTCACAGTCACAGAATCAAAATAATACCGTAAATGTATCCCTGCAACAGTATGTACCAAGTCAGATGACATCGGAAACTCACAGTGGATGTTCTGCACCACCTTTGTTGCCTGCCAACTGCGATTCAAGGGCTGCAGCACAGCCTTTGCTAGGTGTTCAACAGGCAGTTCAGAATATGACTAACGGATACACCCTAAACCAACAGAAGCACCCATCAGATCAAAAAAATGCTTCTTGTTTTAACAATGCTCAGCAATACTGGCAGAAACAGCAGTCTGGAGAACTTAGTCAGTCAGTTAGAAATGTCTGTAATTTAAGCGGAAATGTGACAGCAAGCCAACCTTTTAATGAAACATCGGCATCATCTCCTGGCATTTCCGAAGTATTGTATAACATTGTGCAAGAAGTAGGAAAGCCACCAAATGATACTGCTTCAGTTCAGGAAAGCCAGACTCCTAATTTAATGAACGCACCTATTAACACTCAAATGCCTTCGCTGACAGACAGTGGAACAAAAATTACGAAGGAGAGACTGGCTTGGGAAGCGCATAAGCTGCTTTCTATTAAAAAAAAATGTCACCTACTTGAAAGGATGTTTAATTATAAAAAAAACCTCCTAGCAGCTTCAGAACCTGACAAAAGTACTTCCATGCTTACTCCGTGTTATCAAAATTCTGTCAATTTTCTTTCCGAAGTGCCCAATCAAAATGTAGCACCTTCCCTGTCTGAAACGATGACGGGGAGTCAGCAACAGCCAATTCTAAACTCTTCTTCTGGAGAAAGAAATGACAAAAGCATGACCAATGTTGACAACATAGGATTAGAGATGACTGCAAGTAATCAGCAAATGGACCAGGGAAGCTTTTCATCAAGTTCTCTTCCCATTCCAGCTCAGAGTAAACTCCCCACTCAATTAAATAACCCTGAGAGAGCTCCCGTCTCGGAACCAAAGGATGTGCCCTTCTTGACCTCTTCTCAAAAGACACTGACATCCTCTCACAACACCTCACGCTGTGCTCAAACTGATAACCCTTTCAGAATGGTAGGAAAGAACATACCAGTTGAAGCTGGGAACTCATCATTTCTTCAATTTGTGTTGAGCAGCACAAATATTTTGAAAGAGAAGAAAGCTGGTGCTACTGCAGATAAAATACTGACACGTCTCCTTTGTAATGAAAAACCACCAGTAGGTTTAATAGGCTCAGATGGAAGCTTATTACAAGACACTAGTGAGAGGAACATAGAAAGTTTGAAAGATGAGCAGGCATTTACAGTTCACACAGCCCCTTCTGCTGCATTGGGATCTGATGAAACTAATTTCCAGAAAGAGGTAGCCCGGAAAAAAGCACCACTTACTGAAAATTCATCTTCTGAACAGAACAATTGTACTTACTCTGTGGAAGAGCTAAATGCATGCCTTGGCTTGTGGAGAAAACATGCTTCAGGACCTGTGAATGTTCAAAATAGCCCAGCAAATGAAAGCCCCACAGCAAATCCAACGTCACTGTTTCCTTGTACTCAAAACACAACAAATAATAGAGAACAAAGTAATGTTACCGTTGGTACAAATGAGGCAGTTCTGCCTTCAACAACTGTTTCTGTAGGACAAAAGCATGAAACATTGTGTTCCAATTTGGTAAAAAGTTTTGAGCTCCAAGTTGCAGTAGTTTCTCCTTTAGTACTTTCTGATCATAGAACACAGAGTGAAGAGGCAGGCAAATTTCCAACATTGGCAGGTGTAACCTACCCCATGATTGAATCAGGAAGCATATGTAGCTTGCTAAAAGAAGGGGAAAATGTTTCAACTGTGGTAAATACTGAAAAAGAAACAATAGAAACTGTTCCTTCATCACCTGATGACTGTATTCTAGTAGAGAACATGGACTTAGATTTGCAGCAGGCCAAATCAGCTCATGAAAATGAAATAGTTGAAAAGAGTGTGAGTGCAAGTGATGCATGTGATATAAACCAAATGCAAGTCAGCAGATCTGTGCAAGATGCCAGGGACAATCTGCAGCTTGGGTTGCCAGATGAGTCTTCACTTCCAAAACTGGGTAGTCAAATCTTTCAAGAAAATATAACAGACTTAAATAGACATAAAGACAAGCAAGCTGTGTTAAAGCAAGGAAATATTTCCACAGCAATGCTAGAAGATGTGATTCATATTTCTAGTGTATGTTCTCTTGTTGAAGGTGATACATTTTATAATCCACAAATAGCAAGTATGTTCAACTCGGCTCCTGTGACAAATACATTAAATAGCGGTAGCTCATTAAAAGATAATGCATATGACCTAAAGCAAAAGGAACAACAACTGGACTTTTATAAAAATGAAGTAGGCTTGGGAGAAAACCTTCTCCAAGGGGAGGGCTTTCTGCAGGCGACATTAGAAGAATTGTCAGGCTGCATGAGCAAAGCAGATAAGATTTTGGATGGTATCACAATTAGCAGTTCTGAGAAAGCAAGCAGTGGGTGTTCTCCTAAAATACTTTCTACCTCAGAGCAGAAAATGCCCATAAATACATCTTGCAAGAATCCTGAAAATGGTTTTGAAAATCTAGCTAGTACAAACCTGGAATTAACTCAAAACACACAAGATCCATCACTTTGTGTAAGTGCTGAAACGGCCATGCTCACTGTTACAAGAGACAGCAGTAAACAAGATTGCACCTCTGGTAAAAACAGTGTAGGTGAGGATTTTAAGAATTCAAATCTTTTTGGAGGAGAACCTGTCAAATGGCTGCATGATCAGCTGACTGAACTTGTGAAAGAGTTTCCATATGGCATTGAAGGTGCTAATATACTAACAAAAGATCGAGTACAAAGTGATTCCATGGTTGAGTGTATCACAGATCAACCTCGAAAAGAAGCTCAAACTTGTAACAAAAGTTCTGATCCAGTAAATCAGGTACAAACTGCACTCTTAAGTTCTAAACAGATCCAAGAACTGTTTCCTGAATCCAACCAGCATTCCTACAGTGAAAGCCATGAAACAAGTCAACAGGCAGAAAAAAATTCAAGTGAGAAAGAGAACCTTGAAAGCAATATTCACTCTGGTGAGAGCCTACGCAAAGAGAAAGAAAAAACAGACAAAACCTCAGACCCTGAAAGAGAAAAAGCTTATTGCTGTTTAATGGATTGGTTTTCTGCAGAGTATGCAATGCCACCATGCTCCTGTAAATCTAGCATATCTGCTTCAGAGAAAAATCAAAGTGATAATCAAATTTCAGAAGCTGAAAATGCTACTTCTAAAGGGATAGAGGAAAGCAATGATAAATCTGATTCCAAAACAAAAATGAACAACGCAATGGGAAACCAACTGATTGAAACATTTCAAAATGGTGTTGGCAAAAATAAGAAAGGTGTAAGCAAGTACACCTCTGTAATGAGCAAAGAGGCTAGGACGAAGGTGAGTAATGAACTCACACCACTTGCAGTGCAGCAGGACAATGCTAAACCATTTAATTCTTCGGAAAAGCAAGACTTTGATAAATTGAACAGAAGCAGCTGGAAGGAAGAGTTGCAAATCTGTAGAAGAACCCCCTTGTTAGGGAAGGAGTCCCATTCTGCCAAAAAAGATTATCAGAATGCCTCTAAAGAGGAACTGTCATCAGGAAAAGATGGATGTACAGATGCAGATAATACGATGTTGCCCAAAAAGAAAGAGAGAATTTGCAAGAAAGAGGCCCTTTCAAAAGATAAAACTGAAATAGATTCAGCTGTGAAATGCAAGGCAGGCATTCACAAGTCTAAAAACTCAGAAACTGTTGAAATTAAGCATTCTGAAGTCAACCAAGAACATAACAACAAAATCTGTGAAGAGAACACAGGCAAAGATCAGAACTGTAGGAAACAAAAGGACAAACTTGGAAAAGAGGTAGCAGTTAGCATCAAAGAGAAGGTAAAATTATCGGCGGAAACAAAACATAAAAAGCTGAATAGTTATCGTTCTGACGCTATTAAGTTCCCAAATTTTAGCAATGCAGATTTAAAGTCAAGAAACCACAAATATTCTCATCATAAATCTATAAAAACTCTTCCTTCACAGGAGAGTTCATACAAACGGAAGAGGAAAGAAAATATGATTGGAAAGAAAGACCCTAAAAACACAAAGTTGGACGATGAAAGACTAAAACAGTCTGAAGCAAAGAATTCCAAGCAGCTTTTGCATAATCAAATGATGAATACTGACAAGACTAAAAAATCCATTGAAGAAAATGTCAAGAAACGTAAGAGCTCATTAGCAGATCACTCCGTCCTTAAACTACAGAAAAAAATGGGCCAATCTTCAACCTTCTCTAAAAACTACTTTTCTAACAAAGAGAGACATCTTGATGGTCAGAATAAAGACAAGTCTTCTGAGAAAATGTTTTCTGATAAAAACCTACTATATTTAAACAGAAGAAATAACAGATTAAAAATGTACCTTCAAAAGGAACCAAAAAAACACTATCTGAACAGAGTTGCATTTAGACGTACTGCCCAGGAAAGCATATATCTGACCAAATTAGAGACATCACCTGTCAGACCTGTCTGGCACATGAAGGCGAAAGCATCACGGAAAACCCCAGATCGGTTTTGGCTTCTCTCTCAGAAAATGAAAAATCACACAAAGTACTTGAATTTAAACTGTGTCCAGAGATACTGTTCAGAAATCCAGCTCCTGATGAAGAAAGCTCAGCTACAAAGAATACCCTGGAAGGAGATAAATCTGTTGTGGCAGGTATGATATATATATGATTTTCCTTCCACTTTCAAAACAGTATAGGCACCAAGTAGTTCAAAGTAGGCTGAGAGTCCTGAATTTAAGTTGTGATATGTAAAACCAACTGTCATTTGATAGTGTTTTTCTTTCTCTTGATTATTAATTTGTTTCC